TTCTCAAATATGCTGTACTTGTGCCTCAAGTTATATTTCCCCTATTGAGTCTTTTTTATTTGTTTGTTTTGGTACTCTGTTGTCTTTTCCTTTCCTTCTCCCACCCTCCTCTTTCTGGGTTTGAATGAAGGGGCTCATATGCAAAGTGAGTGTCTTCAGCTGAGCTACACCCTTAGCCCTGAATTGTTTCTTTGCTATTAAATTGTTTCTTTCTCCCCCAAATTTAGTTTTGTTAAAGCACCCTAAATTTAAAATTTATTTATAGTTGGGCTTTTGACATACAGTGTTCCATCACAAGTCCCTCCACCAGTGTATCCTACCAGTGTCAGTTTCCTTCTACCAGTATTTCCAGGTTTCCTCTCCTACCACCCATCCCCGCCAGCCCCAGCACCAGCCTGCCATCTTGACAGGCACCTTTTAAATTTGGTTATTAAAGTTTGGGTCTCCCTATAAGACTGATTTTTTACCTGTATGAGAGGATATTATTCTTTCTGATTTTTTTTTTTAGTGCCTAAGGAGAAGACTGACCAAATTCTATCTTTAGTGAGAGAGAAAATTTTCCAAATAAGAGAGATAATGTACACATACTCTGCATATAAATTCAATTGCTGGAGCCATTATGTAGTTATCTGTCAAAAAGTAATTCAGTTTACTTGTTTGATCATGTTGATTGATTGTTTAAAAACCTTACATGGACAGCAAGTTGAGCTTTCAGAAGCATTGCTAACATCCATTAACTAGCTTATGTCCATCTAAGAGCATCAAATCAGCAAGCTGCAGCAATATTGCTTTCCTATTCTCAATTTAATCATGTATTCATTTGGTTATCTGCTTAGCTCCCAAAGCAGAATACTCACACACTAAAAAATTGGTTGACCACACAAAGTGATTAATTGTGATGTCGTGTGTATTGCACTCTGATTCTCCTAAATTTAATTTTTGCGGTCAGAAAAAAAAAGAAGAAAAAACTATATTTAGAATGTTAAGGCTTGAAGCATCTTGAGAAACTCTGATGAGTAGATTAAACTGCTGTTTCTCTTTTCCTATCTGCCTTGGCTCACCAATTGTGCTTGTAAAATCACACCTCTTCCCTGAGACTGCCAATTGCATATCCCATTTCCTTCTAGACAAATTCTCTTGGATGATGTAAAAGCCTCCAAAATTTAACACATTCAAAATGAAGATTTTTAAAAATTTTCTCTAAAAATCTGGTTCTTTTTCAGTTTTATCCACCTATAAATAGATAGCACAATTCACCTAGTTCCTACTCTAGCCAGTGTCCCCTGGGAATTTTTATGTATCTTTGATGCCAATACTGACCCACTGCCTCTTTTGTTTCTGCTGCTTCTGCCAGCAAAGTCACTAACATGTCTTGCCTGTGCTATGACATTACATTCTAACTGGTGACATCCCGTGTATTTCAGCTTCTAAGCCATTCTCTGGGCAGCCCAAAAAAAATCTTTAGAAATGTTCAGCAGGTGCCCTGGAGAGATGGTACAGGAGCAGAGTGCTTACCTTACATGCAGATAACCCAGGTTTAATCATCTGCACCTCATATGGTCCTTCAAGCCTCACCAGACATGATCCCTGAGCACAGAATCAGAAGCAAGCAAGCAAAAGAGAGAGAGAGGAGAGAGAGGAGAGAGGTGGAAGAAAGGAAGGATGGAGGGAAGGAAGGAAGGAAGGAAGGAAGGAAGGAAGGAAGGAAGGAAGGAAGGAAGGAAGGGAGGGAGGGAGGGAGGGAGGGAGGGAGGGAGGGAGGGAGGGAGGGAGGAGGAGGAAGAAAGAAAGAAAGAAAGAAAGAAAGAAAGAAAGAAAGAAAGAAAGAAAGAAAGAAAGAAAGAAAGAAAGAAAGAAAGAATTACAGCAGAGGCCAGGGAGATAGTAGAGGGTCATGAGGCATATACCCTGTTTAATCTCAGCCCCAGATGCCTTCCCATCTTCATCAGGTGTAGACCTGGAGGCTTCCAAGCATTGCCTTGTTCTCCTGGAGATTCCAAGCAACACCAGCACTGAAACATCCAAGGAACACCATATATTCAGTCCTTAGCACTGAATTATTGCATGGGTTGACTAAGAATCACAGTGAGTGGCTCTTAGGTCTCCTGAGCACTGCTTGGGAAGTCTCCTTCAAAACTTTTTTTTTTTGTAGAACAGTTATTAGTAACCTATTACATTGCTCCAATGACTTCCTATTACAACTAGAATAAGATTTCAATTTATTCCTAAGTCCCTTAAGACCCTACCTGATCCATCCTCTGTATAATTTTTCAGCCTCATTTCTTATCACTGCTCAGTTTTTTTCATGCTGTTCAGATATTCTGACCTCTGGCAGCTACTGGAACACATCAGGTCCTGTCCATTTATAGGGTCTTTCTAGTTGCACATCTCCTGCCTAAAATATTCTCTGGCTCTTCATATAGCAATTCCTTTTAGGCCTTCAGTATTCAGATTATGCCATCTTCGTGAAGAAGCTTTGTCTACTCACTTTTCCTAAACATATCCCCTGCTATTATCTGTAAGAAATATCTTTCTTGGTGGTGGGAGGGATACTGGGATCATTGGTGGTGGAGAATGGGCACTGGTGGAGAGATGGGTACTCGATCATTATATAACTGAAATCCAAGCATAAAAATTTGTAAGTCTACAACTGTACTTCATGGTGTTTCACTAATAAAAATTAGAAAAAATAAAATAAAACAAAATAAAATCATCTTGAAATGTTAAAAAAAAGATAAAGAACATCTTTCTTCTTTCTTCTATGTCTAATACCAACCCTAAATTTTCCATTCATCCAGCTTTTTATTGTATTGCTAACCCAGGGGAGAAAGCCTGAGGTATAGTAGGTACTCACTGAATTGTTTAAATATTTGTTTAAATATTTGTTTAAAAATTGTTTAAATATTTCAGTGAATAGTCATCAGAGCCCATGTATGAGGGTCCCTGATGTGCTAGATCAGATTTTGCAAAGGTAGACTCTGGAACTTTCTGATTCAACCATGCATAATCTAAATCAGTGCTGCAAAGAAAGAAAGAAAGAAAGAAAGAAAGAAAGAAAGAAAGAAAGGAAGGAAGGAAGGAGTCTTTGATCAAATTTTATTACTGTGAATAGATTAATTTAAGGATATATCTTGACAATAGTTTTATTAATCCCCAATTCTTTAAATAAATACTGATGTATTTTTATGTCTTTTCATGTATTAATCTTTTGCATCAAATAATGTATTTTTAGTGCATTTGATGGCACTAAAAATACATTATTTTTAGTGGTTTGTAGTGAATGAATTATAAGAGCCATGATAACCAAACACAGGAAGTTTATGGTTTTTAGAGTATTATTACTTCAAATGGAGAGCCACAATTCACCTGATATTAGTATGACAAAATACCTAGAAGAGGACTCCACAAACTTGATCAAATTAAAGAAGTGGTTATTCATTTTTCTTTAGGGCACTTCCACCACACTAGAGGGGGCTATTGTACTTGATTTGCTTAATATTCAAAATAATTATAAATATATATGTGTATATTTGATATGGCTTTTCTTAAACTTAGGACCAGAAATTAGGAGTGCGTTCTTAAATAGTTCCATATGGAAAATTAAAATTTCTCTTTGGAAGAATCACTGATATTCAGAGTCAAAGAGATTGGGTTTCCAAGACCTATCAAGTTCTCCACAATTAACAAGATTCAGGACAGCAATCTCCTAAAGACCCACACTACACACGTTTATTTATAAATCACTTTGGGACGGCTGATTACTTTCACTTTAATGTCAAAAGAGCCATTGTAATCAATTGCTTAAGCTTAGTCAACGCCTTAGTTTTCCAAGGAAGAGAAATGAATGTTATTTTTCCTACGCTTATATTGCATCAGTATCTGGGAAAAGAGAAACAAACTCTAGACTTAACTATAAATTCCTACTTGAAAGTCAACAATATTGTGTACTCATGGAATTACTATTGTTAATTGTGTTTTTAGTTATAAGAAAAAGGAGTACAGGAAGGAGAGAATTTTAGAAAATAAAAAGATGAGGAACGGATCACATTAGATTTAGAAGGTATTTTCCCTTTTAATTTTACTCCTAAAATAAAACGTAATGCTTTGTCTATAAAGCATTTACCTATTTATTTATAAAGCAACAGAACTTTTATAAAAGAGCCATAGGATGCTAGGAAAGCGGTGTAGTGGGTACTTTTATGTGTCTGGGGCAGAGCTAAGCAGGATTCACAGTTTCGGAGTAATTGCCAGATCATTTCATGCTCAGAGTGATGAAATGGTCTGCTCAAGGTCATGTAGTTAGGACTCCAATTTAGAACTCTTTGGCCCAAATCTCTTGACATGTCAGCCTTTCCATTTTCAGGTCCATGCAGCTATTCATCATTCTGAGCAAGACAAGCTACCAAACCTTGATTTTTGTCCCTATTGTGAAAATAAACTAAGAGATGCAAAAGTTTTAACATACATGGTTATGGAAGTTCACCAAAGCACAATTGGGAATAGAATGCAAAAGCCTTGTCCTTTTGATCTGACTCTAGCCACTCCTTCCCAGATGAAACAGATATCAACTAGGTCATAAAAAGCAGAAATATTATGTTCCATAATATTTCTATCTTGCTTTGTATTTTATGCTGTTTTTCTGTTTTACTCAATTATAAGTCTCTCTTAAGAACTTGAAGGGTAGCTCAAAGTATTACTGCATGTGATTTGCATATACAAGCTCTCAGGTTCAATCTCTTGCTCCTCAGGATCCCCCTCACACTTCCAGGAGCAATTCTGAGCACTGAACTTGAAGTAATGCAACCCCAGAACTGTCAGGTGTGGTCCCCAAAGAAAGAAACAAAAGCAAAATACAAAAACAAATCCTCATTTAATGCAATAGAAAAAAAGACCCCCGTTATGAATAATGAGTGGTATGGTTCCTACCACTTCTTTTCCCACTGTGTATGCATGAAGGTTCCCATGGGGTCTCTTAACAACTCTCTTTCTCTCCCCAACAGGGTTGCTCTATGTAGGCTTTAGTGCCTGCATGTTTGGTCTTTACAGCTTTATGCCCATTGTCATAAAGAAAACCAGTGCAACTTCAGTCAACCTCTCCTTGCTCACAGCGGACTTGTACAGCCTGTTCTGCGGATTGTTTCTTTTCCACTACAAGGTAAGTTGAGTGGGTATTTGTGCCAACGATACTTACAGCAAAGTATGCCTTCCTGTGGATGACCCTAATTTTATATAGAGAAGTAGGAATGTAACTCTATGCTAACTGCTAATTGCTCACATATGCTAATTTCTATGATCTGGGTATTGACAGCTATTCATCTTTAAGACAGAGATTTTTGTACTGAGACCCAGCATTTAATGGGAAAAGACCAAAAAGAGAGGGAAAGACTTTTAAATAATGAGGCAGCTTTTATTATACCATTCAGCCCAGAAGCTACTTTTTTTCCAGCCTAACGCTAGAAGGGTTTTATAATTCCTAAATTCTATCTGCAAAGCCTATGTCTACCAAGGACCCTGGCAGGTATGTTCTCATTGGAGAAAAGACACAATTCCTGCAATGGCAATTTTGCAGATATTTTTATAACAAATACAAAGGGAAAATGCTAATGCATTATAAATAGTTTCTTTACTAAAAGTGTATTTTTTAGTAAAGGAATGCACAGATGTATGGTAAAGTATTTTCAGTGAATATATCAGCCCTGAAGGAAAGAGGAAGCTATACAATCCAAAGATGGCAGGCTTTATCCAATGCAAGACTCTGCCCACATCTTAGCCCTAGGCAGTCATTGCTAATTGGTTATGAAACACTGGAGTTAAATGCTATTTTTTTAAAACAATCCACTCACTGCAGCCCTTAACAGTTGAGCAGAATTGTTTTGTGAGAAGAAACCCTCTGGATATTTCTTTACTAGTCTTATAAGATAAGGATCTAAGAGGCTATGACCTTCCATGAAAAGGAGCAGGTCAGGACTATCTGGACTAAGGGATCAAATTAGGAGCAGCAAAAGAAAAGAAGAAAGAGACTTTTAACTCTGCTTTGCTCTGGTCCCTTGCTTTGCCTGTGGCACTGCAGTTAAGATCACAGCATGCAAGTGGTCAGCTAATGGGGATCTGGGTGGACAGAAGATCTTTATCAGGATCAAAGTGGGCTGGGAGGTTTCCAGAGAAATGCTGAGATGGAAAGAGTATGTATTTGACAGGACTAGAAGTAAAGCAACTGAAGGGAATAATCCAAAATATTTCTGAGAGAAGTCAAAGTCATAGACTTTGGAAACAGGGATGTCAGACAGAATTGAAAAGAGGTAACAAGAAAGACCAATCTGGGAAGGACTAGAAGGTGAGAGGTGGAAAGTGGGGCCAACGCCTCAGATGGGAATAAAGAGCTCTTGTTCTTAGATTGGGTGAAACCATTTGCTCCACATTATGGTTAAAAAAAAAAAACTGCTTAAAGAAACGGTCAGTGCATGAACAATATTGGTGCATTGTCCCTCATTTTGTTTGTATAGTGCATTCGCTGTTTCCTAAATGCAATCTGCTCCTCATATGGATTAAAAAAAAATCACTTCCCCTCAAAGCTCGAAACTCAGAGCTGGAAGTTTAGGCTTTCCTCAGAAGCCACCTGCATACTACTCAGTTATTCCCAGAGTCCTGGGGACCCTCTGGTGAGGTCTCATGGATACAGAGTGGTGGTTATCATTTTCTTCTATTCTCTGAAGCTAACTATCCACAGTCTGTTCATTCTTAAGTTTGAGCCCAGTTTTCTGGATGCGTTCCCGAACTTTTATAAGTCACATACTAAAATCAGTCCCACCCCACTCCTCCACTCTGCTGGGACTTGAACTCAGGTCCTCAAACAATGTAAGAGAAGTGCTCTTTCACGGAGCTGCAGCTACAGCTAAAACAATCCTTTACACTTCTTAGGGAGACAGCTGAAACCTAATGTTCTGTTAGCACTGTGATCATTTTCTGGCCACTCTAGATTCAGTCGAGTTCACGGTGTCTCTTAGGCCAGGGGAGAATCTGTATTTGATGACTTATCTTAGGGTCTGTGAGCACATCACTGACAGGCCTGTCTATAAACCTGATGTTCTCTGAATCTAAGAACAAATATCTGAGGAATACCTGGGAAGTGCCCCTGTTTCAGTTTCACTCCCTAGGTTTACAAAGGACTTTTGATTAACTGTGTGGAGCTTACCATCATTGTAAACATTAGAAACTAAAAAAGCTATCAAAACAGGTAAATGCTAATTCTCTCAATACATTTCCTGTTATTCACTAAATAATATTTGTACTAGTAATATACTGGTTCTATTCAGTATTAATATTATTTAGTGGTAAAATTACTTAGGGTTTGTAACTGCTTAGGAGGAAACCATGTAGCAACCCCTCATATAGTAACTCTCATCATGCCCACATAAGGGAAGTCATGTTTTCTGAAAATTAAATTCTTATATTAACTAATCTGAAGTTGCCATAATTTCTTTTTTGTTTTCTTAAACCAATGTTTTAAGAAACTAAATACATGCTTTTTATTATTATCTAATAAATGCATTTCTAGAGGCAACAATTGATTCAACACAATAGGTATTTTCTCTGGTTAAAAATGGATTCCAGTTGTCCCTCTTGAAATTAAACTTTCAAAGTAGTGGTTGGTTCACATGCAATTTTAAGAAATAATGCAGAAAAAGAAAGAAAGAATGCAGAGACAGCCCATTTACTCCTATGCTAGTATCCCCCATTGTTAGCATTACAAATCTATTATCCAATAGCAGGACTTCACATCAATGCAATCAGCATTCAGGGTAGTTCCAACCCAAGGATTGCACATGTTGCCTTTTAGAGATACTTATCAGCCTTTCACTCTCTAAAAACAACTAATTTATTCTCCATTTCTCTGAATGTGCCACTTCAAGAACAGTATGTAAATGAGATTATACAATATGTGACCTTTGTGATTGACGTTTTTCCCTCAGCATAATTCTCTGGAGAGTCATCTAGGTTCTTCTGTATATTCCTAGCTCATCTTTTATTGCTGAACACAGTTCCATGGTATTGATGTGCCATGGTTATTTAACCATTAGCCCAAGGAGAGACATTTTGGGTGTTTCTATTTCTGGCTATCATAAATAAAGCTGCTATAAACACTCATGTTCAAGTTCTTAGAACAGAGTATTCATTCTCTGAGATAAATACCTAACAACACCGTTGCTGGATCATATTATGGTCATGGCATGTTTAGTTTTATGAGAAACTTAAGCTGTTTTCCAGGTTAAGCTATTGTTTTTATTACTAAGGAATACATAATGGTAGAAAGTCAAAAATTACTGAAAGTACTACTATACATTGGTACCATTTTACAGTACATATAGTTCTATGGTTTATCTGTCTTATAGTTCAGATATATTTTAATAACATTTTTATTGCATACTATTATTTTGTTACATGATCTTTAAAACTTCATAGGTAAATATTTCCTTATTACTTAAGATAAACATAGCATGTGAGCATGACAGTGAATCTCAACTGTAGCCAACGTATCAACTATATGGAGAGATTGTGAGGCATGGTCAAGTCCTGGTCCCACTCCAGAAAATCTCTCTTTACTTGATTGAGAGCAAGGTATTCTAAAATGTCTTTAAGAGTATGAAAAGGTAGCACTAGGGCTAAGGCATTTATCTTGTCTAACATGAGACTGACCTCAGTTTGATTCCCAGAATTGCTTATGGTCCCCAAGCACCACCAGGAGGGATCCTTGAGCTCTGCCAGGTATGTCCCAACCACCTGTCCTCCACCTCCAAAACTAAGAAAAATGTCTGTCTCCACATACTGCTACTTGTTGAGAGTCATAACAATTTATGATAATTGCATTCAGGTGATTTTTCTTCTTAGCTAATGCAATAATTTATTTTTTATGCACTAAACATTTGCTCACATTCAATAATATGGTTTTTTTTAAAATAATTATTTGCGGATGCTATGAACCAAATCCAGGACCTTTTACATATGAAGCATATTGAGGCCAACAGGGTCCCCAGGTGACTTATGTGAAGTGGAAAGGAGAAAGACAGCAGCCTTGAGAAGGGGATCTGCCATTTTCTTTCTACCTTTGCTACCAGGGAATGGCTGGGGAGATCAGGGACTGTTAGTCTTGCTCCTTGCAGGAGAGGAAAGTCAATCCTAGACCTTTTCAAGCCTTTCAGGTTTTTGCCTTTCTCTCAGAAAAGAATTTCAGAAGTTGAGCAGTGAAGTATAACGGATTTTATTTGGAAGTTTGGGGAGGGAGGTATGGGAGGAGGGGGAGTCAGGGTGAAAGAGAGAATGAATATGTGCTCAAGAGAGAACATACTGGGGCTTCTTCAGGGTGGAGAGGGAGCCCCAGTACATCCCAGCATTCGATCTGAAAGTACACAACTTAAGATGGGAGGTGAGGGCAATACACATGCTCAGAAAACACATGCACTTTGTAGTAAACATGGGCACATGCAGCACATAGGTTCATGCAGAATGTGCACATGCTTCTTTTGTTCAAATTGGATTTTATAGGGTTTCTCCCAGGCTGTCCCACATGGGGCTTTCTACCTAGGTAAGAGTCCATTGCTAAGGTGGTTGCTAAGTGGTAAAGGTAAGGTAAAGGCCCACCCGTTGATCGTCGATTTGCTCGTGCGGGCCCAGTAATGTCTCCATTGGAGACTTTGTTGTTACTGTGTTTGGCATATCGAATACTCTCGGTAGCTTGCCGCTAAGTGGTAGAATTGGGATTAGTTGATGGTCTTTGATATTTGTTTCCTGGCCTTTGTTCCTGCTGGAGCTTCTCTCAGAGTAGGGCCCAGCCTTCCCTGGGTCTGAGCCGGTACCAGGTAAAAGTCTTAACAGACCTTAGTTCCTGTGTCCACAAAGTGGGTTTTCACAGCCTCTGGGTTATTGGTTTTATTGCTTCCCAGGAATTCATTGCCATGGGAGCCTCTTATCTCTCTACCTGCCTGCCTCAATATGATCTACCACTAAGCTACATTCCCAGTATTAAATAAATCAAACCTCACATATTTTTTAAATTTTTATTTTGAAACAAAATTCAAAGGTCTTTCAATAATTTGAAAGATCAACTGACCAATCATGACTCCTTCAGATAAATAGTATTCGACAAATCCTGGTAGACAG